CCCACCGTTAGGCGAGCCAAGCCCTCCCCTCAAGGCAAGCGAACCTGCCAGGAGGCTTCCCAAGCTCGGCCTCCCCAAGCTCTAGCCTCCCAACCTCGGAGCCCCACTAGGAGCTAGGCCTCATCCCCTGGCAGGAGAGAGCGAGCTGCGGCCCCCACCTCACCACGCGCCGATAGGTCAGGAACCTGATCTGTCAAAGCAACATCACCTCAGCACCCTCAGGACGGGCTCCTTCACACCGAGAACCGGTTCAGCGCCTTAGTCGCGGACTACCCCCAATAGTCTAGGCCCATCGAGCTCGGGAACACCGAGGCAAGCAGTGCCAGCGCTGGGCCTTCCAAGTAGCAGAGGCGTCGCCGACGAAGTCGCCGAACTGCAACCCGCATCCTACTCAGGCTCCGAGGCAAAGAAGAAGCGAGCTCAGACGAGGTAAAACTACCCCTGTCCTCTCAGTCCCTTCCCCCCTGTCATCAGGACTCCTTGTAGTCCCCATGCCCAAAGACTTCAAACTCCCCCCACTTGACAAGTATGATGGGTCCTTTGACCCCAGCGACCATGTCGATGCCTTCCAGTCTCAGATGCACCTGGCGAGAGCCAACGAGTCCTGTATGTGTGTAGCCTTCACCACCACCTTCAGAGGAGTAGCTCGCACCTGGTACAGGAACCTAGCCCCCGGGTCAATAAGGAGTTGGGCCCAGTTCGTACAAGTCTTCACCGCGCACTTCGTAACTAGCAAGCGATGCCCCCGAACCAAGGAGAGCCTCCTCGGCGTGGTCCAGAAGGAAGGGGATCCCATCCGCAGCTACATCAAGCAGTTTAACGATGCATGCCTATAGATCCCATGCCTGGACCCCGCAGTTCAGCTCGCGGCGGCCAAGATGGGAGTGACGCACAAGGAGTTCAAATGGCACATAGTGGCCAACCAGCCCACGACCATCGCCGAATTCCTTGATCTCGCAGACAAGTTCATGCGAACGGAGGAGGAGATCCATCAAAGGACTGGGGGCGGGTTTGAAAAAAGAATGAGAGAAGAACTCCCTAGCTAAGGAGACAGCCGGAAGGATCCAGCCCGAGCGCCGAAACCGAGCCAGCCGTTCCGAGCTCCCGTGGCAGGTCGGACAGACTATATGCCCTTGAACACAAAGCGGGCTGAGATCTTAATGACGATCAAGGACGCCCTATACGTAAAGTGGCCACCTCGCCTAAAAGGGAACCCAAACGAGAGGAACAAAAACATGTACTGCAGTTTCCATAGAGATCACGGTTATAGTACCGAAAATTGTAATAATCTCCGCGACGAGATAGAGGAACTCATCCGCCGCGGGTACTTAAGAAATTTTGTATAGCATAGTAGTAACAATAATAATAATAATAGTAAGACAGGTCGGCAAGGGGAGCGCGGCAAGGATGCTCCTGAATCTAGCAGCAGGCCGGCCGAACAGCCACAGAAGCAGCCTTCGGAAGAAAGGCCAGTTCGGGGGACCATCCACGTGATAGTGGGATTTTCGGTTGTAGTAGGGTTCACTTCGGCAGCGGCCCGGACGTCAGTTCGCGAAGCTACCCGAGAAGACCAAAATCCTCCAAAGAGGCCGAAGACGGAAGAGCCAATTCTTTTCACAGAAGAYGATGCGCGAGGGGTCCACTACCCTCACGACGATGCACTTGTGATAAAGCTGAGGATC